AGAAACAGACTAACCCATCTATGGAAGCCTATTACCCAGGGATCTTGCACTGCACAGCACAGGGAGGAAAAGGACTATACAAATGATGGTACTGGGGCAACTGACGGTCCCTGTGGACACAAGTGAAATTGGAACTCTACTTCATATTCTAAACATATCTATTTCAGGTGACTTAAAAGTTTAAAAATAAAATAAATCTTTAAAATAAAAAAATATAGAAAAAAATCTTCATATATTCATTTACTTCAGAGTAGGGATGTATTTTTAAACATGAAATATAAATCATAAATTTAAAAAGCACCACATTTGATCCTACTGACAAAAAATTATGTGCTTATCAGAAGACAGAAAAATAAAAAAAACCTAAGAGAAAAACGAGCACGAGACATGAAAAGACATTTCACAGAACAAGAAACCCTAATGCTAGTAAACACCTGAGGAAAATATTCAGCCTAATTAGTAATCAGAAGAATGCAAATTAAAACAACAGTAAATTAACATCTTGTACTTAGTAGACTGACAAAGTTGGATAAGTTTTGATGAGAATGTGAGACACTTAGACCTTGTGGGACTGTAAATGGGTATAACCAACTTTGGAAAACTATTTGGCATTATTTTTTAAGTTTGAAGAAAATCATATCCTATTACCTAGAAATTTTATTCTTAGGTATGTATTATAGAGAGGTTCTTTCTTATGTGTACAATGTGTAATAAGATTCCTATTATGTTTACTCAAATTTCTGTTGACAGAAGAGTTGATCAATAAATTGCGTACTATACAGCAGTAAAGATGACTGAGTACAACTATGTGCTTCAACATTGATGAGAATCAAAAACATAATGTGAAGAAAGCAAATCACAAAAGATACACAGAGCATGATTCCATTTACATAACATTTACCTGTGCAAAAATAAGTAGTTTATAATTTTGGGTTATATGCATGTGTAATAATACTGTTTTTAAAAGCCATAGTACTTGGTGGACTGTTATTACTATTTTTAAAAACTGTAATCCTGGTGGAGGAAGGGAAATGAAAAAGTAATGGAGAAGAATATCAAGGGCTTTACCAGAATTAGCAACTTTCTATTTCTTAAGCTGGCTGTGGGCACAAGAATGTTCACTTAATTATTCTTTATACCTTCAGTATTCATTATACATCCTTTTTTGAATGTGTGAAATATTTTATAAAAAATACATTTTTTAAAAGTTTCTAGCTGGCCAGAGACTCCCATCAACTGACTCAGGCATTCCAATTATTTCCTTATTTACAGCTGGATTTATACTTTTAACTTTAGCTCATCCCTGAACAAATTTACTGAACATGGTCTAGTGATCAGAGTAGCAGCTCTCTATAATTCCGTAGCCAATCCCAACCTTAGCATATGCATAATACAATTTTAATGACCCAGAACAGCATATTTGGTCATCTAATGTAGGCAGTTTCCCCATTAGCAGTTTCATTGGAAATCCTCCAGTATGTAATTTCTATTAGTGACTTTATTATGAAGTTTCACCGCTGCCTGCTGGGGGCTGTACCAGGAACCAGATTTGATGATACCAACTAGTGTTCCTTTCTCAGTGAAGCCTTTCCCGATGCCTGAAGGCAGAATTTGTTGCTCCTTTCCTGTTCATCCCAATAGCATTTCTTTGTTGGCAATATGGAGACAACTGACGTCTACCTTACAGGTTACCACGAGGAATAAGCAAGATAATGCATTTAGAGCTCACAGTAAGCCCTCAGCAAATATTTGGCATGTTTATGTTTGCATTTGTATTTATATTTATACTCTTGTTCATATTCATATTCTTATACCTCTATTGGAATGCATGCTACAATGTGACATTCCTCAGCTAATTATATATACTTCTATCTCTCTGTAGTCTGTAATCCTGTTGAAGATAGAAAATGTATTTTATTCATCTAGTTGACCCTGGTGCCTAGTATTGGTCTTGGTATATACTAGGCACTCAAAACATATTTATTGAATTTAGTCAAAATTGAATGGTTTTTATGATTTCATATATGCATATCTATATGCATACACACACATGCGCACACACACACACACACACACACACACACATGAAATTTAGGATTTCTAGATCTATTCCAGTTTCCAGTTCCTTGGAAGCTTCTGAAATTTGTGTCCCAAATATGTGCCTAGAGGATGCCAGTAGTATTTGACTTGTCCCTCACTGGCTCGCTGAGATGATGGCAGAACCCTTAGAGACAGTACCTGAAGAAAATAAGGAATGCCCACCCCTGGTTGAGCAGTTTGCTATTCTGGGCAAACATTTCTTCAAATGGTCAGAAAACAGAGGAACCAAACATGAGCGTCATTCTTTTTCCTGAGTGTTACTGGTTTCTTGAAAGATCTGGTTTGGCAAGAAGACAAAGAACATTTAGAGCTGGGCCTGATCACTGTTAAAGACCATTAATTCCATATGGATCAATCTGAGTAATAAGTGAGAGCTAATATGATGCACAGCAAGTGGGGGCCAGAGAATAGGGGTATGGAAGATGTACAGATAGTCAATTTCTCCAAAGACCTCTGAGCCTGATCTGTGACTGAATTCAACTGTGTAGTGATAGGCTAAAAGTGGTTAATAATTTCTCTGTTTGAGAGACAACATAGTGTGGTGTGATGTATAATGTAGATCTGTATAAAATTTTATTGGAAATTGGATTCATTTAATAAGCATATAAAATGTATTTGGTTAGAGGGTTTATAAAGATATAATTATGCAGTTACATATGCTTGGAAATAATTTGTGCTATGTTAATAGAAATAGAATATAATGAATCAGTGAGTTTGGAGGAATAGATTTTAGATAGTTAGCTATTTTAAAGCATTATTAAGATGGAGAGGAGAAGGCTATGAGGTTCTATGTTTTTGTGACCATAGCAATGATGAGAACCAAGGGCATCTATCAGAGTCGCATTAAATGGGCAGGAATCTTCAATAACCATGGACTTGGCAGGAATCACCCTTGGTGGTCCAAGTACAGAGCATTTCCTTATCTCAAGATACTAAGATGAGCAAAATCACATGCAAATAAAGTCACCAAGGCAGAATAGAACGGGTTCATATCATCCAGCCCTTACAGGAGTGCTTGGGATGGAGCAAAGGAATGTTTGGAGTAGACAGCAAAGTGTGTGATTGAATGGGGAAGGGTTTATGTGGTAAGTGAAAGTTTTCACCTTCAAGAGCCTGGGGTGGTGCACTGCTCTCACCAGCCACTTTGCCCGCCAGAGTGGTCATGATATAGCTGATCACACAGCTCAGTAAAACCAAGGTTCAGAAGACCATGTTACCTCCCTGGTATTGTCACCAAAGTGGGAGGGAAGAAAATCCTAGAAGCAGTGAACAGTGACTCCTATACAGTAGGAAGAGTAGGAAGAGTGTGCTTTCTTTAATTCTGACCTCTGCCATTTAAAGGACATGAAATCTTGTGTAAGTGACTTAATATTTCTGAGTCTATTTTCTGTATTTTCCCTAAAACGGGATTCCTTTAGAAAAGAAAACGGAAAAAATGTATCTCCTTTTTTTTTCCTTTAAGAAAAAAAAAAAAAAAAAGAAAAGAAACAGTTTCTTTCTAAGCTGACTTGCTTTGGTATTGTATTTTAATTAGGAACTGGAGATTACATATATCGAGCACCAGATGCATTGCAGTAGTTGAAGATTCTCCTTTACTGATAAGACTGTACTGTTACTCCAGTCAGGCCCTATGCTAGAATCTGGGAAAGAAAAATGAATGAAACGCTATTTTCTTTTCTTTTTTCTTTGAGGGACTGACTATCTGGCTCAGAAGATAAGTAAACAGGCATGGTAACTATTTTATAAGGAGTGAAAAGAAAGGCAACAGCAACAACAACAACAACACAAACAAACAAATAAACAAAGAAGCAGTGGAAGAAAGTGTGAAGTGCCTTCTAGTGTCCATCTATTCTTCTTTCCTACAAACAAGAATTTCAAACTTTTGTTGCAAACATTGCCTTTCAGCTACAATAGTATATCCCCAACTCCATTTTATAGCTAGATAGGGTCTTGCAAGTAAGTTATAGCCAATGAGAGGTAAACAGAAGATCTATGTGCAACATCTGGAATGTTTCCTGAAGGTAAGAAGATATTTCTTTAATGTCTCCTTTTCTTTTCTGCTGTCTGTGATAGCTGTGGCTTCAGCAGTTATCTTCTGCCTGAGCTAGATTTCTTGCAGGAGAGAATATTGCAGCAGGAAAGTAGATTTACTGTCTACTCCAGATCCTTTGGTAACTATGAGGCTAGCCTCCGGTCTGGGTGTCTTACCTTCAAATTTCATTTACATGAGAGAAAAATAAGCATTTATTTTAAGTTACTACTCTTTAGCATTTTCTGAAACTTTCAGCCTAGCTTAATTGGGTTAATGCAATAGGATATAGTGAAGGACACTAAGGAGGGACTGGTGACCTTTTAATTGGGAAAACAGGGAAGGCTTCTCAGAGGAGGTGATAGTAAAGCGGGTCTGGGAGAACAAGCCTCCTTTATGTTCCTCGATGTTGGGAGTTTGGTACCTTAGAATCTATTTACAGATATTGTTGACAATGCTTAGACAAGTTTATTAGAAGGAGGATTTGAGAGCTCTTACATAAATTGGTCTGCTATTTCCCAAATAAAAGAAGATGCGAGTTTTCAATGAGAGGCTGAAACAGCTGAGTTGGTAGTTTTGTGTGTGTGTGTTGGTGGGGTGGGGATGATACTTTGGAAATCCTGCTAAATGTTTCCTTCCTTATATCTCCTCTTATGTCTGACTCTTCTACCACATTTGACAAACTAAACTAATCTGTGTTCACTGGCTTAGATGAAGAAAATGCCTACATAGAAAAGAGAAAAGGGAGTTGCTCTCCTGGTTTTCGAGTTTCAAAAGCACAGACTCTGAGAAGATTCCCAGACTGCTCAACAAAGACTGGGAAAGAATTCTCTCACTAGGGATAGGGGCTAGAGAAGCAGCACCAATGAGACTCTAAGGAGGAAGCTGTGTGTGCCCTGCTTTCTGGGCCACTGAAAAACTCAGATGGACTTGTGGAATCTGAAAACAGAGGGTCTTGGAGTCCTCTCCTAGGTAGAGCCCTGGTTAAGTAATAGATGCCAGAAGAGGAGTGACTGTGTGATGCCTAAGCAGACTGGGCTTCAGAAATGCAGGATTCCCCTCAGTTCTAACGTGGCATGGAAGTTGCACAATGTTTCCGGGATGTCCAGGAATGGCCTAGAAACAGCAGGAAAAGAGAGCTACTAGAAGTCTGGTGGAATAGAAGAAATGACATGGTAGCTACTAGAAGGAATATATCTGTGGGTAACAGTATGGAAAAATGACAGTGGATGTCAGCATGGTAAAGTGAAAGGTTACCTTGAGACTATGGTGCCACCGAATACCTCGATACTGTGTAAAGCCCCAGACCTTATATGTAATAGACTCACCTTAGAAAAGGGGCTGAATCCCACACTGCCAATCTGGTGAAGAGCAACTTAGTTCAGCTATAAGAGAATAAAAAAGAGATTGTTCTTGCTGGTTTGAGTATGAAGATAGAGATTAGGACTTGCTGCTGATTCATTAATTTATTCACCCATTTGACAATAATTTATTGAGTGCCTGTGAAGTGGCTGGCATGGTTTAGGCATTTAGGATATTGCGATAAACAGAACATGAAATTTCTGCCCTGGTGTAGCTTATGTACTGGTTAGGGAGACAGACAATATGTAGAAAACACAAATGTCATTATATTATCGAGTCAGATAGTGATAAGGACTAGACAGAAAAATAAAGCAGGGTCAGGAATGTTAGCCTACTAGAAGGTGAATATAAAGATATTAATGATGAGTCTGAATAGAACCCTTTGTTCTCATTACCAATCTTGTGTGTTGTATTGACTTTCTGTTACTGATGAGAGCACACAATTATTGACCATTTGCAAGATGAGGGATGCAAGAAACAATGATGAAGTAGGTATATTGTTTATTAGGCCTTTTAAAGATCAGGGCTAAAGCTGAAGCTATGTACCAGATTTTGGCTAAACCCCAGTCCTGGAGATGAACTTTGGTGCAAGCCTTATATATGATCTCTTTTAACTCTTTCATACACCCCACTAGATAGATATATGTGCTCAGTTTTATAGATTAGAGCATGGGTCCTCAGAGAATGTAATCAGCTGCACCAAGGCTATACCAGGATTCAAACTTAGGATTTGAACCCAAGGGTTTCACTCTGCAATAAACTGGATTAAACACCCTAGTGTCTTTGTGGGCTGCATCTCTGAACTCTCTCTTGTTTTGCAGACAATTTAGAGATTTCAAACAGAAGGATGAGCCTGAGAAATCCTCTACAGCTGTAGAAGACCCTCTTTTGGTTAGGTAAGTCTCAAAGAGCCATAAGCACTGCATCCGGATGAAGGGTAGAGTGGAGAAAGGGGCTGAAGGATTTGGCAGTGAGACACATGGAAGTCTAGGTTACTCTGTGGCAAACCTCAGTGGATTAATTCAGCTGTAGAACATGGCAGAGATGCATACTGTAGTTCCTAGCCAGAGGATTAGAGAGTTAAAAGGGACCCTGGGGATCATCCAATCAAATCACCTTCCTAACTGTGAATTTTCTCAATAGGATTTCTGATATGAGGACATCTCACCTCTTTTTCCCCTTCCAGTTTCTTGTTTAGATAGAGAAGTTCTAACCTGACTGAGGAAAATGCCTGTGTTCCAAAAAGTCTTTCTATTCTGAAAGTGAGCAAAATATAATGACCAGATCCCAGGGATGAGTAGCCCTGCATTGTCTGAAAGGGACACCTAAGGGCAAAACACAGGTGTCTCCCTCCAAATTCCAGTGCGCCCACTGATTATGGCAGAAAAGGAAAATTGGAGCCGATGGTAACATAGTGGGGGCCCTAGACCTCAATTTCGTGGCTTTCCTCAATACAAATATTAACAATTTGGCAAAGTTATTGGCCAATTGACTCAAAGAATAAGCATTAATAAAGGAATTCAACCTGAACAATGTGCTGTTTTATGGCTAGTACATGCAGGTTCACCAGTATGAATTTACTGTGCTTATTTAGTGCCCTCTTTAAGATGAAAAATGATGCGAGCTCAGCGTTAATGGCACCTTTTGACGCTGAGTAAGTGTTCCCGTGGATTGAATGGTAGCTGCTCCTTCTTCAGATGGAGATTGAAAACTTTATCTTGAATGTCTTGCACTGGCAAAAGCATTCCTTGTACTTGTTAGTGAACATGCGCTACCACGGATACCTGGACCCTGTGGGCTCAGTGGTCAAGGATGTCCTTTTCACAGAGCCTTTGTCAGTTGCCATCAAGCTAGTATAAAGGGAAATGGTAACTAACTCATATTTCAATTTCCAGGTCAGCTCTTGTAACATTCACTATCAGAAGGCGTATTTTGCTTTTTCATTCTGTATCTTCTACCTCTTTGAGCCTTAAAATCCTACCATCAAGAAAAATGACAGATTTATGGGGACATTCTGGTTATAAAATTATTCCGAGTTCCCCTAGAGATCCTGAAAGTGATGGAGAAAATGCTATGGAAATAATACAAAAAATGTGGAAGTACAAGATACTGATCATTCCCGGGGCTCTGATTCTCCGTCTAAAAAGTCAGGGAGTCCAAAAGTATCTTTTATTTAGCCCCAATACCTCACAAATTTATAATTTCTTCACTCCTTATAGGAATAGATTCTTAGGAAAATCTTCCTATTCAGGCACACATTTTATTTTTCATTATCTTATGTATATGATAGTGTATACTGGGCATGATATTGGGCAGAAAATAGCATTGGATAAAGACTCAAGATGCATATTAAAGCTTTGGTCAATGACAGCCGCATGGCCTTGAGTAAATCACTGCACTTCTTTAAATCTTAGTTCATTCATGTTATAAAATAAAAATACTTCATTAAACTCTATGTTTTTCTCTTAGTCCTAAAAATCTGCGGTCACATAGACTACTGGATTTTATAATATGTAATGCTATAAAAACAAAACAACATAGAATTGTTATTTTGATTTCTTTCGAGTAAGGTCATATTCCTTTAAATAGAAAAAGAGTTAGTCCATGGGGCTCTCATGCTGGGGAACGTGGGTGGAATAATAGACAAAGCACTGTTTTTCCAACTGGTATCCATAGACCACTGAGATGTCATAAATGTATTCTCTGGGGTCTTCAAATTCCTAAGTCTGAGAAGTGCTGGTGCTCAGGCACCAAACTAAACAGCATGAAGGAGTTCAGAACATACCACACCCAAATATTCTTCTTTGGCATATTGACCGTTTTGAGTTTAAGGCACTTGAAAAACCGCAGAGGTAAGAAGGGCACTTGGAACTTTCTTTTTCTTCCTGAAATCAGGAGATGAAACGACTTTGTGAAGGATGCCTTCCCTGTATCAGAAGGAAAGAAACATTCTTATCACTAAGAATAGAAAGTTGAGGCTGAGCAAAATCTGTACAGAACAAATCTTATCAAAGGCATCTTTATTTTCCTAGTTACTTCTTCAAGATTAACTACCCTAGCCCAGGTCCCTTTGCCTTGCCATGTTTCTCAATTTACGACCCTCTGTCCAATTTAGTATGTAAGGTTTCAACTGTAACTGCTTCTTTGGGTCTTCATTTTTCATGTGAAACTCCCATGAACATGTTAAAAAAAAAAAGAGGAAACTTGTATGCTTTTTTCCAGTTATTCTGTCTTAACGTTAGTTTAATTCTTAAGCCCAGCTAGAGTCTAACAGAGTCAAAGAGAAATATTTCCTCTCCTATAAAGACCTAGAATTGGAAGTGGATGGGTGCTAGGTGAAGTTGGGTGAAGGGTTGGGAATAAAATGGTGAAGTCATTAGTGGCTTGAGAGTAAGTGGAGGTGTGTCCAAAATGAACAATTTGAGGAGAGTTTACTAAAGAGTCTGTTTACAACGTTGGTAGGTTTAGGAAAACCATAAAGGGAGGTACAGTGCACAGACACCATTAATGCCGCTCAACCAGCAAGGATGGAGGAAGGAGCAATCTCTAGAGGAGAAACACAGAAGAATGCCTTCCCTACATCAGAAGGTTGAGGCTCAGAGAAATCAAACCTTATCAAACAAACCTTATCAAAGGAACTTTTATCTTCTTAGTTACTTCTTCAAGATTAACTACCTAGCCCAGGTCCCTTTGCTGAATGACCTTCAGCCAAGGCCATGGCCAGTCCATGGGAGGGGCTGCAGAAATATCCCACCTTCAGCCTCCTTCCTGCCTCCAGTCTCCTGTGAGGCTTCTCTTTGACTGAACTCAACCAGGGGTGGGGAAACCGCTGATACAGACAGACAGACCAACCTTTGCTGGCACAGAACAAGAAGGCAAAGTACCAGGAAGACATCCAGCTCAAGGTGTTAGAAAAAAAGAGACTGGACGGGCGCGGTGGTTCAAGCCTGTAATCCCAGCACTTTGGGAGGCTGAGGCGGGTGGATCACGAGGTCAGAAGATCGAGACCATCCTGATCAACATGGTGAAACCCCGTCTCTACCAAAAATACAAAAAATTAGCTGGGCATGGTGGCGCGTGCCTGTAATCACAGCTACTCAGGAGGCTGAGGAAGGAGAATTGCCTGAACCCATTAGGCGGAGGTTGCAGTCAGCCGAGATCGCGCCATTGCACTCCAGCCTGGGTAACAAGAGCGAAACTCTGTCTCAAAAAAAAAAAAAAAAAAAAAAAGAAAAAAAAAAGAAAAAAAAAAAAAAGAAAAAAAGAGACTGGAGTAAGTCCCTTTTCAAAGGAGGACTCCAGTATTCAGCCTCGTCTTTACTGAAGAGGCTTTGCTTACTATTATTCTGTTTTATAATATCCCATAAATTAACGTGTCTGGCATTCCTTCTTTCCCCAAAATGTGTTGATTTGGTTAGATGGTTGTGTCTTAAGTCTTTAAATTTGGAGCTAAAATCTAGAGGAATGTGATGTTTCTTAAAATTTATACTTTCCTCTACAAACTGAGAGAAAAGGAAGCTATACAAATTTTCTAGATTTAGGGCTGTAGGAAAATGAAATAAAAAGCATGAAAAGATGACAGGATTTCA